GCAAAAGCAGATAACTCCACATTTCATGTTTTAGAGTTTAAAAAAAAACAATCGTTTAATCTTTGTAATCTCCTCAGATGACAATGTAGATGCCTGACAAACGTTGTTGTTGTTGTTGTTGTGATCATAAACTGTATGGATGTGATTACACGCTATACACGGAGCTTTTCCCTCACCAGTGTAACGTGCTGCTTTTGCAAGCTTCCGTGAAAACGTTTCAGCTTTTATTTTCCCTTTTCACCCTGAAGAAGATATCACAGGCTCATCAAGTTCGTCGAAATGATCCATCCTCGATCACTTTTAGTCAGCTTTGACAAAACTCCTCTCAGCTAGCACGTCTTTTCAAAGTGAAAGTAGCCTTGTCACCTGACCTGAATACAGCGTGCTGATTCGCTAAAAAGGACTTATCGGCTTCTGTTCAAAAACAGCAAGGGCGCTTGTCGGCTTCTGCAGTAAAACGTGAACTCGCGATGCCTTGAAAGTGGACAAAACCAGCTTTTTTTGACAAAACGTGTTTCGGGTTCAGATCATGCTATATGTGGAGAATAATGCACGGTAATCAGCTCTTTTTTTTTTTAAGTGGCGTTTATCGGTTTTTGCAAATGAACTCTTCATATATGTATATAGTATACTAAATGGATACTAAAATTAATGTAGTATAATAAACGAATACTAAATGTCAGTTGAACCAACAATCTTTGCTCTTCAGTGATATGATAATTGGCTGGAACCCATCAGGCATCTTTATCATTCACATCATCAATCTGTCTATTGCACTTAAACACTTATGATTTTATCAAGTGCTCTGATTAATCAGATTTAATTTCATGCTTTTCACACACACATGAGAATGTGCAACATAGCTCTACTCCGCATCTCTCCCTCTGATTGATCCAGGGCACTTTTAAGCACAAGGCAGAGAGTGACCTGCTGTTTGCAGAACATCATAAGATGCTGCTGTATGATGGAAAGCTGTCTGCCAGTATCGCCTTCACCTATAACCCTCGAGCCACTGACGCTCAGCTGTGTCTGGAGTCCTCTCCCAAGGACAATGCTTCCATCTTTGTGCACTCACCACACGCCCTCATGCTGCAGGTATGCTCTTCCTCTTTTTCTCTTCATCACACCTGGTTCACCATCCCAGCACAGCTGCCCTGCCAGGTGGACTGCTCTCTGTGGGCGAATGAAACTAGCTCATCACCATTCGTTAACACAATTAACAATATGAGCATTTTTGTCATCTCGCTCAGCAAAATACGACCCACACCTGTGCTGCATCCAGCACATCATGAGTTCTAAAAGCACTTAATCTAATCTGGTCCACAGTGTTATCAAGGGAGTCTATAAACTTTTTAACATTCATTTATTTATTAAATATACATTTTTGACTCCAGAGCTCAACAATAAAGACAGCCTGATGGCCCGTGCCAGTGTGAGAATGTTTTGGGCCAGTTGATAGAAGTGTTGGTTACACTTTATTTGAAGTTGTCTTTGTTACAGTGTAATTATACATTTACGTACGGAGTAATATTAATTAACTACATGTACTTACTATATGGTTAGGGTTAGGATTAGGGTTTGGCTTAGGGTTACTTGCATGTAAGTAATTGCATAAGTAATTGTTATTATAATAGTAAGTACATGTAACGTGTAACAAGGACACCTTAAAATAAAGTGTTACCGAAGTGTCTCTATGGCTTGCATATGTTAGCCTTGTTCCATGTGTTTCAATGCCTTGCAAGCATAAACTTTTGGTTTTGTGTGATACATTCAAATTCCTCTAATTTAAGTATGTCATCAAGATAAAGATATCTAACAGGATAACATAAATGAGGTTTTGTCGAAATTGCAAGAATGACTTCTGATACACGATGGTGTTTGAAGTTAAATATTTTATTCCCATTGCACAGTTGTTTAACAGCAAAATAGATTTTATTAATGTATTGCTAATTAAAACCTAAGAAATTATTATTATCATTACTTGAATTATTAATATTGTGTTGGCAAAAACATTTTTAACTGAAGAAGTGTTCTTGGCAAGCCCTGGACTTGATGGATTATAGGATATATTCTATAAAGTGACCTATAGGAACAATAATTTAGCTTGATTCTCAGATTATTATTATTATTATTTTCAGTTAATAAAGGCTTCTTCAGTTCTGATGGCATCTTCGCATGCTGAACAGATGAAGTAGTTCTATCTGACAATGATTTTATGGATGTGCCATCTGGGAGAGCGCTTGTCTGATTAGAGGCACCTAAGGACCTCACAGCTGTCTTTCTGTATTTAATCCCCCCCTCCCCCCCATGCATACAGAGCACAGGTTTAGGAAGTAACCTTCTCATTCAGGAATATCTGTTGCAGAACATTAAGAAGATGACAATACTATGAATTGTGTTGATCAGAGGGTCTCTGTGTTACACAACTTAATGACGTTATATGACATAAAATTACTAAAGAAACCTAACATCAAGCCTTTCAACTCTGTACGGCTTCGGAGGATAAACCTCTCCAACCTTGCACTCAAAACCCAACGGCTCTTTTCAGAGCCACCCACACTTTCATAACAGCGCATTTCATAATGTTCTGTGTATTACTCGGCAGTCATTTTATTAAAGCACGCAGTCGGAGTTCTCTATGATCTTCATACTGAAGTAAAAATAGCTTTAGCACACTAAAACATAAAGGCGTTTTTGCCTTAATCTCGAGCTTAAGTTGATTCATTCACCGAATTCCGTGTTCTCTCCAAGAGTTAATTAAATGTGCACACTAGTATGTAAAATAATAAAAGTTTTACTTTTCTTCGTGATTGTGATTTTCAGAAACATTGAGCGGGAAAGTCAGAAGTGTGTGTGTGTGTGGGGGGGAGGCGACGGGAAGCGTTCAGATTTAGAAGCCTGTGATTGGCGGATATGTCTGTCTAGCAACCCATTTCTAACCAATGAAATTGTTTCTTTCATTCATTTAGCAAAAAGACCCAATCAGGGAAAGGCAACCCGGCCTTCATTAATTAGCATGAGCTTTCAATAAATATCCAGTACATGACTGTGAACGATATTGTATTGTGTTGTTAATCGCGAGCAGTGTTGCCAATTTGGGGATTTTGTCGCCAAATTTAGTTGCGACTTTTTAAAAATTTTCTGCGACAAGGAGCTATTTTAGCTATATTTAAATAAAACTAGCGATTTTTTGGAGATTTTTTTACTTGAACACAGCAGTACGCCACGACTGCCATGACGCACACCATAATTTCATTATAAGCATCAACCAAGATCAACAATGAACATCTTGTTTTAACCGCGGACACAAGTTATACCACAATTCATGCACAGTAATGTCAACCAGATACCGAGAGAGACAGTGCATCATCGTGTCATGTGTGCTGGGATGCAGTATTGTGCACGCACTTTGTAGTAATAGTGTGTTGACTGAAATAAGTTTGTATGAATACATTTTTTTGTTTTTGGAGAGTCATAATATCTCTTATCTGTTGTATTTGAGCAGGACAGGGATGCACTTTGGTGACACATGAAAACAAATTCCCAACATTGTCTTCTGTGTCTTTCCATCATGTTTGATGTGCTTGCTGATCACAAGCATTTCCTAATTTCACTTCAGAATTTTTTGTTATACTTAATCTTTTGTTATTTTTTTATACTGTCATAATTTGTAAAGTGTATATATATATATATATATTTATTTATTTACTTTCCTTTACCTTTACCACATTTACCTATATATACTTTTTCATATTTGGCGAAAAATGGAGACTTTTGAGGGTGGTTCTAGAGATTTTCTGAGGGAGGGGTTTGGCAACACTGATATGGAGGACGAAACCTGCAAAAACAATAAATAAATAAATGTGTGTATAAATACAAAATCCTTGTTTGAATACATATAGAAATAATTAGACGTGATTAAAGTAGGCAAATAAATAAAATAAATTGGCGGGCAAATGGAAAATGTTTAAGGAAATGCTAAATTCATCCTATTTATTTTCCTTTGATCACTCATTTATTTCTGAATGTAGTTCCACATTTATTTTTCCTCTGCACAACATGCTAATGAGAGGGGTGTCAACCATGGACTTGCTCGGTCATGCCATAGCTGGGGGCGTGGCTTTCCCGGAGATGCATGGTGTTAATCCAGTATAGCCTAGTAAAGTAACTTTTGCCGCTCAACAGAGCAAGATACATAGAAAAACTGAGCCGTATTGTCCGTACAGTATCTGTGACTTTACAAACGACCCAACGGAATGGCCAGAGGTGTCATTTCCCGGCATTTGATATTCGCAAATCTAGGGACCATCTCTAAAGTTACATACGACATTGGTATACACTTTTCTAACTTCAATAGCATTTGAGGAGAATGACTTACAGTAGCACAACCAACTGTAACGTGTTCATGTAGGTCTCAGTTATAATGCACACCTTTTAGATTTTTGATATTTATTAAAATAAACCGTCAAATCATATGTAAATACTGCTATTTTTCTTTATGAATATGGGCTCAAGCACAAAATATGCCATAATTTAAAGCTCATTAGCATTTGAGGAGAATGACTCACAGTCATAAAACCAACTGCAAAGTGTTCATATAGGTATCAACTATACTGCACACCTTTTAGATTTTTGATATTTATTAAAATAAATGGTAAATTCATATCTACACTGTAAAAAAAAACTTCCTGTAGAAATTACAGTAACTAACCGGCAGCAGTTCGCTCGTAACTTACTGTAATTTTATTTTGTAGCAAAAATACTGTATTTTAGTTTACCGTGTCATTTAACTTGCTGTAAATGTATTTACAGTGTTATATTGTTTAACTGTAAAATATTTTATTATTGTATTAATTTTTTGGTCCTTTCTTGAGTAATGCATTTTAAAACAATAGAAAATATACTGTTATACTGTAAAGTTTACTGTAATTGGTTTGCTTCACTTTTCAGTTACTGTAAAACTATATGCACAAATTGTAAAATTAGCAGTTCC